CAAATGACATGGTCAAATCTTCCCGAATTTTACCCCCCCCACCCCCCTACCCACAACAGGAAGAACGCTGAGTGCTCTCGGGATCCATCTTTTATAGATGCCCTGAATGCCTTCTATGGCCGCTTTGAATCCTCAAACCACACCCCTCAAACCTCCCTACTCGCTCCAGGCTCACTGTCCCAGTGGGTGAGCTGCCACTCACTTTAACATCTCCCAGGCTGTGGTGACGGTGTGCCTGTAGATGATGTGAGGAGGACTGCATGTCAACCTTCGCAACACAACAGGACCAGACAACATCCGGAGGTTCTGAAGAACTGCGGAAATGAGCACACAGAATTGTGGAGAGACAACTTTAACATCTCTCCCAGGCTATGCTGACGGTGTGCCTGAAAACATTCTTGTGCCCAATAGCGTAGTACTATTAATGACTATCGGTCGATGGCCCTTACCCTAATAGTTATTAAATGTTTCAAACGCTTGGTTATGGCCTACATCAAGGAGAAGGTGGACATAAATATGGCTCCAGACCAATATGGATACAAGAAGGTCTGAAGAGGATGCTATTTAATCTATCATCCACTTTGCTCACATTCACCTAGAGCAGAGACACCACCTCACTAAAACCAAGAAAGTAGAGCACATCAACCCAGTTCTGAACACCTTACACTGACTCCCTGTATGTCAGAGGGCAGACTTTCATTTCAATTAATTTGCCTTTTTTCATTTAAAACTTTAAAAACTTCTGTTAGTTTCTAAATAACTGAATGGCTTAGCACCAAATACATTAATTTCTTGTTGTCAGTGTATCAACCACCCAGACCTCTCAGGTCTTCTGGTTCGAGTCTACTCTCATCCCCAGAATTGGAACCCAAACATGGAGAAGCAGAATTCAGTTCTTATGCTCCTCTAATCTGGAACAAACTTCCAGAAAACAGCAAAAATGCTGAAACCCTGATTTCTTTTTAAATGAAGCTTAAAAACCCATTTATCCAGAATCTCCTTTGACGGTTCTATTTAAACTATTAACTCACTTTTTTGCCAGTGGTTTAGACATTAATGGCTGTGTGTTGAGTTATTTTGAGGTGACAGCAAATTTACACTGTTTACAAGCTGTACACTGACTACTTTTCATTTTAACAAGATGTCATATCTGAAGGTTAATTCTGTGTTTGAGCACACAGTCTTGGCCAATAGAAGCTGCTTCTGATTCAAACAGCTAAACCTTTGCTGAACACATTTTTTAAGATTTGTAAAATCAGGTAGTTTGTAAAATATTTTCAAAAATGGCTGCAGGAACATGTCCATTAGGATATGCGATGGGGAAAGGAAAAGGGAAAAGGCAGCCAAAGGGCTGAAAATGATCCCAAAAGTCCTTCCTGCCAGATGGTCTGCTGTACTTATTTTTCTGCTCTGCACTCCCTTCAGAAGGTTTGATTTTTTTTTAAGACACAATGAGGCTCTCATTTGCTGCAGCCACAGTCATAAGAGGTGGATAAATTAGCACAAATGGAGCTGGTTTGGTTTCTTGCTCGCAATTTTACTAATCACATGTCACTCATCAATTAGGCAGACAAATGGATGAGGGGATGCTGTAGTCACCATGGAGACCTGATAATGCAAAGTTTTCTGAACACCAGTCCTTTAATCAGAATGTAGCTTTTTAGATGGAAATGTTTTTGCTGAATGCCTCTTTATCTCTCATCCTAATAATTAGACAGTTGAGGTTATAATTTAGCATTTTTTGCACAATAAGATAAAACAAGTTAATGTTTGCTTTGACATCATGCAAAGTGTCATCCTTTTATAAGCACTGAATAACCCATTTAACATGACAGGAGTGAGAGCCCTAAATGCTAACCTGATTTCACAGGCAAATCGGGTTGTATCCTACATTCACAACCCTGATGTCCCTGCTGCCAGCAGCTACCGAACTCAGATGCTCCTCAGAGAGTGGTCTCACTAACTGCATATGTAGGACAAACCAGCCTCATCTCTGTTAACCTTTCAGAAGGACACCTGATGCCACACCATAGCACCTGCTTGCTGGGAATTGCTTTCGCCTACTATGCATCTAAACAAAGTCATATGAGAAGCCTCGGCCGGGAAGCAGCAATGTATACGAAATAATCTTGCACACAATGACTGCAGGAGACAGAGTGTCACTGCCATCTGGTTTGCGGGATATCACAGAGTCTTTGCTTTTCAGTCAATCTGCTCTTGCTTGTCAGAAGCATCGTATTAATGGAAGTAATGCTAAGAATACTTGAGTGCAACTCAAGAACAGAACATCTAACCTTTTATAAGCCCCTTTTTGAAAAACAAAATCAAGCAACAGCTTGTGTTCAGGTTTATTGATTTTGTCTGAACAAACATTTTTCAATAGATCTTTATTAACTTTCTTCAAACTCACACAAGAAAGGGCATTTCTTTTAGAAATGATGGCTTACAATACCAGTCATTGCAGCTCAGTGCACATCAAAAACATTTAAAATGTCACATTTCCTGTTTACCAACATAATTATCTGTCCTTAACCACGCTGCATCTCTCTGGAACAATTCCCTAACACAGGCACATAGTTTTACAGTCTCATTCAAGCAGAGGCCACCTGGAAACTGACGCCACCTGGACAGAGCTGCCGACTTTGCATTTGTTGGATAACGTGATGACAGTAACTTCCCATAAGCCTTGTTTACTTGATATTTCAATATCTTTCAACTGTTTATTTTTTTGCCGTATTTTTAAATTAGAGCTATACGATATCTTTTTTTTTTGTTAATTACAAGTAAATTTTCTAAAATAGTATCTGTCAGTTTCCACCGCTTATTCCATAGTGGGTCAAGGGGCGCTGGTGCCTATCTCCAGCAGTCTATGGGCGAGAGGCGGGGTGCACCCTGGACAGGTCGCCAGTCCATCGGAGGGCAACACACAAACAACCATGCACACACCTAAGGGCAATTTAGAGCGACCAATTAACCTAACAGGCATGTCTTTGGACTGTGGGAGGAAGCCGGAGTACCCGGTCAGAACCCACGCATGCATGGGGAGGACAAAACTCCATGAAAGACCCCGGCCGGGAATCGAACCCAGAACTTTCTTGCTGTAAGGCAACAGTGCTACCAACTGCGCCACTGTGGAGCCCTTAAGAAAATAGTAAAATATAGGAAAATAGTATCTGTTTCAATACAAACCTATAGAACAAATCAAAATATAAATAATAACAAATGAGATTTATTATCAGAAAATAAACACCAGAATTGCCTCAGAAACTGCATGACTTTATTGATTTTTGATGACACTTGACAAGTGCAAATATATCTGAATACAACCAAAAAGCAAACGAAGTTCACACTAAAGTTTGCAATCTCTTCTCCATCAGTGGTGACGCCACATACTGCCTGAAGGCCACTTGTCTGTCTTACTAAATTTTAATGGTAGCCTTTTGTCTTTGTTGTTGACATTTATTGTTTCTGGGTAAAATATTAAAATTGTTTCATTGCCCTGGAATATAAATGAGAAAAGACTCCATAGTTTCAAAAACGGGAAGTGAAGGGTTCGCATTTCTGACACTTACTTTGTTTAAAGTTAACTTGTTTCTTTGGAAAGCAGCAACTTTCAATAGGTCATAAACTGTAAAATCATAATCTCATGGACATAGGACATGGACCGTTTTACTGATAAAAAAGTAACTTTGTTTAATAGGTTTGTTCAAAAACGCACCCTAATGAAACTAATGGTATTGATAATAATGATTTTTGTTTTTGGACTGTGTTACAATTCGTACAACGAATGTTATCAAATAAATTAACTGCAATAAAAATACACAAGTCATTAAGTGAAGATTGTAGGCCAATATTGTTTATTAACTGTACTTGGTAAGTTCAGCTTATTTTAAAGGTGGAAAAGCAGGGAACTGCTTACTCAGAAAGGTTCAAATATTACAAATGGGATTTTCTTACATGTGTCAGAGCACTTTTAGTTTATGTTGGTCTTATGGCTCCATGCTTTTAATCTTACTTTTGAAATAGATTCTTCCTTTTTTCACACCAGTTCTATGTTGATTGATCTTAATTTGTCATTGGTTATGTAATAAAATAATCTGCCAGGTTCACTATCTTCTATGCTATGTATCCCCTTTGAATGATTTTAAATTAAAATGAGTTTAATAATGTCTGTTTACCTTTCATATCCATGCCTCCAGCTGGCTTAGTTATGCAATTGGATTCTCTTTTGTCGTTAATAGATTTCCCCCCAAACCACAGAAACTAAGCACGCTAGCTTGGTAGGCTTTCTCTGTATTCATAATAGTGAGGCTAACCAACTATATTTGTTATGTCATGGAAGTAGGTTTTCATGAAATTACACTCAATATTTACATTTTTACATTAGGATGTTCATAATGTGTGCTCTCAGACAGATTTTCCTGAAAAGAATAATTTTTTCAACAATAACCAAATTTTGAAGCTAGATCAATCAGGCAGGAGCTTTTTGATACTCTCCATTATACCAACTCCTGCCTTGTAAACAACCAATCCAGCTCATTTGTTAAATTGCGACTCTTGAACAGATTGAGGAGCCTTTTTCCTTGATGACGTCTCATTAGCAGACTATCAGCTCAACTTGCAGCCCCTCCACACCTCCTCCAAGGCCTCTCTTTTCTTCCCACACTCCACCAGCAGGCAGTGACATTTCTATAATGAATGTGCCTCATTTTCAGAACGTTGCCCAATTAGGTCTGAGACACTGTGAGCTGTGGGGAACGTTTTGTTGTATTTGTGCCAGAGTGATTCTCTAATTAAAGATCCAAGTGAATTGAACTGAATTTCTAAAAAAAGACAAGGTTAATGGTTAACTTGTTCTTTGAAAGGATTTAGGCACATACAATATATAAATATGCAGATATCCTGATTCCAGCAGGCGAAAGCTCTTAAAACTTTCAATGATATAGTAATCAGAGTCTACTAAATATTATCATTCATAACAATGTATTGATCAATGTTATCTGCAGCCATAAAAGAAACATGAATCTTAACAAAATAAACTAGTAAAACACTGCTGATTATTTCATGGAAAATTGTCAGAATAGGAGCATGCAGACTATCCATCCACATTGCACAGGCAACCAATGGGGGAAAGCTAAGGTGGGGTGATGTGTTCCTTCTTACCAACTCCACTTAGAAGCCTAGCAGCTGCCCTCTAGAACAGCTGGAGTTGTTTCAGGGAGGACTGGCTAAGACCAAGGTAGGGAGCATTACAGTAGTCAAACTGGGATGTAATGAAAGCATTATCTGACTGTTTCATGGTTTTCTTTTGAGAGAAAGGGCTTTACCATTGCTACCTTCCTAAGATGATAAAAACCAGACTTGACCACTGTTGTTTGATTTTATCATTTGATTTGTTTTTCTGTGTCTGTATCTGTGTTTATTTGCTTTGTGACTATTGTAATTGTATGTACAGCGCTTTGAGTGTCTCGTTGCTGAAAGGCACTATATAAATAAACTTACCTTACCGTACCTTACCTTACCTTGAATCCTATCGTGTGTAAGAGAATGCTTGAAGAAAATTAAAGGCCATCTGTGAAAAAATAAAGTTGAAGCAGAAGTGAAGCCTATAACATGACACTGACCCAAAACATAGCAATAAATCCAGATTGGACTGGTTGAGAATAAAAAAAAAAAAGGGATGTCCTGGGCATACTTAAAGCCCAGATTCTATTCTCAGGGTAACACTTACTATTGGGGATTAACTGTTTCTCAGGTAAATAACACATTTTTGTTGATGTTTTGTTTAATGCATAAAACAAGGTACATTTTTGTTGTTCAGGTGCAATAAAATCATTTTCTTTTCCAGAGATAAAAAAATTAGATTAGACATCGATATTTGTGCATTTCTTAATAAAACATTTAATATTTTATGTGGTGTTCTAACTTTTTCACAATACTATAAGTGTTAAGCAATTTGTACCCTGTGTTATTATAGAAACTCTGAAGGTCAGTCAGTAATTTTCTATACCGCTTCTTCCATTGTGGGTCGCAGGGAAGCTGGTGCCTATCTCCAGCAGTCTATGGGCGGGAGGCAGGGCACACCCTGGACAGGTTGCCAGGCCATCGCAGAAAGTCTGAAGGTATTATATGAAACTTAGAATAGTCATGTATAGTAATAGTCTCTTTAAATACGCCATATTCAACTCCTAATCATAAGATAATTTCAATAAGAAACCATTGTTGCTCTGGCATATTGGAGTGTGATAATGCAAAACGAAACAGCAGTGTCAATAATAGTCTGAATCAATACTGAAGAGAGATATGAACATTAGCAATTACTAAGTGGCTGCACACCGAGATGCTCCTCTACAGCGTCATTGTACACTGCCTATGCCTTTACCCCAGATCTGCTGTTCTTCTGATTAACTTTCACCAGTTAACACACGTACACTCCTGTGCATATGAGGAGCATGCAAATGGGAAAACTAAGTCACGCTCAATATAATATGGCCACTAATGAGCATTCTTCTGAATCCCCCTGTGGGACTCAGTGGTCGACGTCATTAAACATGTACTCCTTTGTAAGCGTGAAGCACAAGCAAGTATATTCCAGGCAGAAAATGAGGCTGTGGTTTATCTGATTCTGTTCAAGGGACTTTGAGACTGCTGTTGTTTACAAAGGCCAGATCTTATCTTACAATTACAATGATTGTGATCTGCATCCTCAATTGTAGTGAATGATTTCTTCCTTTGTTTAGAGTGCCTTGCAAATATAAATATACCCTATTAAATTTGGTGATGTTATAAACATAAACGTGTGGATTTCATGTAATTTTAATGTAACCAACACAAATCAGTATATAGTTGTGAAGTGGACAAAAAAAGATAAATGTTTTTCTAAATCATTCTGTGTGGTGTGCATATTTGTTCACCTACCTTGACTAAATCCTTTATAGAAGCATCTTTTGCTGCCATTGCAGTTGCAATAGCTTTAGGAGGTTCTCTGTTAGCTTTACACATATAAAGACATTTTTTTTGCGGATTGTGTCTTTTTAAATTCTTTTTCCACAGATCTTCAACTGGATTAAAGTTTGGACATTGGATAATATAAATGTGCCTTAATATAAATATTTCCATTGAAGATTTTGTATAAAAAACTTTTTTGTTTGGGTTGTAATGGGACAAAATGTGGAAAAGTGGTATGAATACTTCTCCAAAGCACTATATGTTCCACTTCTGCCGGAGTATTTTATCAATGTTTACAACTTTATTGAACATGCACAAACTGAATAGAAAAAAGGAAAGGAGGACACCAAAAATCTAGAAGGTCAGTTCCAAAAATCAGCTACATGATAAGCAAAATAACCTATTTTTGTCACTTGAAAAATACCAACCTGTATCTGCACCACACTGTGATGGGACTTTGTTTCCTTATGTTCCACCAGACCTAGTTCTCTTAAATTCAACCAGCATGTTCTTACTGAGCACTTTCCCTAAAGAACAAAAAATGAGGTGGCATCGAAATAAGAACACCATTTATCATTCTAGAAATACACAGAGGGAAAGAAGCCCACATTCCTGTTTTCTTTCGCCTCTTTTGTTCAGAGGGAACTGGCCTTTCACATAATAAAATGCTTATGTGGTCATTATCCAGCAACAAGTGGCCTTTCATGTCGAGCTTGAACGAGGGCTAGTGTTCAACTCTGATGTGGACAGAACCTGGATCTGTCCACTATTTTCCACGTCCTAGGGACGATGATGGTGAAAGAACATGAAAGTTGAAGTTAAGAACATGTGAAGAAAATAAGCATGACTTTATTTGCAAATATTTACAAAAGTATTCATACATTTTGAATGAACATTTTAAATTTCTGTCTCGTTCAACCACAAACTCCAAAGGATTTTATTGGGATTGTTACATTTTTTTTAAATCCTGTAGCAAATATGTTGATATTTTCAAAGAACCACCGTTTTAATTCTATTTTTAGGCTTTAAAATAAAGAAAAGACAAAAGAAAGGCCAAACCTTTGCTCAGAGGATGGATGCATAAATGAGGTAAAGAAAATAAAGTGCAGTTACCAATCTAATGATAATAGAAAGATGTCTAAAAAATATTACTGATACTTTGGTCTCAGCCTGTTAGGATTTTATTGGGAT